CCCCAAAACCCCAAAACCCCAAAACCCCAAAACCCCAAAACCCCGCTGCAATGAATTTGAATAACTTAGAAAAATGAGATAATATATTAATACCTTGTGGTAAGCTATAATTAAATTGTAATAAATTAGTGCATCAAACTTTAATTTTATGGGTAACCAGTGCTGCTATTCTACTAGATAAAAGCTCTACGGCTAAGCTTATTGATTCGATTCAAAATATCCTAATTAGCCAGGACGGGCTAAAACCTGTAATCCCAATAGCAGACGTAAAGATACTTTGAAAGTGTCTTTCAATGCGAACATCCCAACTACTGGTTGAAATAGTAAATAGGGTGACTCTAAAAATAGATCATAAGTGTCTAACAGAAAAACCAGCAGTAGTAAGGTTTATGGCTTCTAAGATGAAACTACTAATATCCCTTGCTCTACTGGAATCTCGTAGGAAGAGGTAGTTAGCAAGATAAATATACTGTGGTCGAAGAAGAAAGAAATGTGGCAGCAAAAGCAAGAAGAGATACTTAAAAATAAACAAACAAAGACTATTGATAGTGTGTAGTTGCCTGATAGGAAAACCCCTAGAATCAAGAAAAATTGTAAAAATCAAGAGGAAACTAAATAGAGTCAAAATGTGATGCTCTCAGAAAAATCAAAGAATAATGACAGATACTATCTTGAGAACATCTAGAAAAGAAGAGCATCCAAAGAATATGAGAGGGGACAAACATTTAGAGAAAGAAAAAGGTCTAAATCGAAAAAAGATGATGAATAAAGCACAAGTTGCACAAGTAAAAGAGATGAGAATTTATTTAAGCAAATCAGCTCAAGTAAACTATTCAGAGAAGATTCTACTCTTATTGAAGACCTAAAGCTGCACTTCTAGGACGAAGATGTATAATGCTTTGATAGCTATATGAACGAAAGTTAGACTAATAATAGCAACTTATACGGTCTCCCACAAATGAGAAAAAGCAATAGTATGTCGCACTTTGAGCAATATAGCAATAACTACTGGGATAAGGTTCAAAGTACAGTAAACACTTCTCAGAATTTACTTTCTCACCAAAGTTAATATGCCTCAACAACTAAAATGAACCTGAGAAAAAATTAAGACCCTAAATTGACTCCAAGGCAAATTTTAAGTTAATATAGAATAGCATCAGGGTCTGGTTCAATTTCAAGGCAAAATAAAGAGTCACAGGCTACTTTAATTAGTTCAGGTAAGTCTACAAACAAAGGATATATGGAGTATCGAGCCTAACTAGAAAAGCAGGTTTCTGATTTCACCTGTGCTTAACTTTAAAAATTGAAAAAGAAGTAGTCTAGTGCTAAGTTATTCTGATTAATTTTGGATTAGCAGCACAAGACTTTGAAAGATAATGAATGATTATTAGGTTTAATCAAATATAACTTGAGAGAATGAGTAATTATAAGGTTTTAAGAATATTAATAAATTTAAATTTTAATGGCTTTTTATTCAAAGTACTCTCATTTATTCGCTAAAGAAGTAAGTTTTTCCCTACAAAAATTCTTCCTTAACGCATTTACTAAGAATGCTTTCGCGAATAATTATTCAAATACATATAGATTGAAAATAGTAACTATCTAAATCAGAATAACTCACTTATTCAAAACACGAATATAAGTTATGGTCAAGGAGATGTTGGGGCAAAATTTAATGACATGAAATATCAATAGAATATGGGAATGGCTAAACCACCTTTAAGCTAAAAAAATATTTAACTCTCTCAGCCATCTTATAATTAAGTACCCTCTGTCTAACCTCCTTCTTCATACCACAGTTAGAGATCATAATCAGTCCATAGATAAGCCTAATAAGTTAATCAAAGTTAAATTAATGGCAACGGTAGACCTGATTATACATCTCAGCAACCGAGATCATTCCAAAATGTTTATGAGATGTCAAAAGCAACTGATTCTCTTATCAACTAATATTAGAGAAATAATCCATCAAGAGATTAAGGATTCTCTGGAAATTAAATGAGTAACTTGATCGAGAGGCATAACTCAAGCGGGATGATAAAGGGTAGTTATAATAGTGAGATTTCATAAGTTGGAGGTAGTGGTTACATTCGGCCCAGCTCTCATATAAGTAATCCTTAGTATGATTAGATAGGAAATAGAGGTATTACTCCAAACCAAGGAGTTTAAAATCAATACTAATCAAATCGTAGTTCGAACTAACCTGCTAATTCTGATAATTCAATCTATAAGAAGCCTATAAATCATAAGTATGAAGACTTAATTATGCATGATTAATAAATTGGAGTAAATGAGAGAAATACAGCTCTTTATACTAAATTTGACATGAAAAATTTAGATATTAGGACTGATGGTAGCCCAGTATCTTACAAGCCAGAGTACCATCCTAGCAAAGTCAGCTCTGATATTTTCCCTAATTCTACCCCAAATATGAAATAGTAGTCTCCAATAAAGTCAATTTTGAAATAGCCCATCTCGACCTAACCTTATTTTGTGGAATAGTCTTCTGTTCAGGTTAGTAATTAATAACTGGTAAATTAAAGAGGCTAGAAAATGAGATTAGCTTAAGAAAATCGTAGAAAAGCCAAATAAGATATGCTTAGGAAGCAACGACTCAGGGACATATTAGTACATGAACTTTGATAAGCTTAGAAATATTTGATTTATGATATAAATATACACACAAATTTAGAGATTTAATTAACTATAAAGAATATATCAAGTGCTATGACCTTTTATTTCCTTAAGTCTAATGTATAATCACAATTAATTTGCAAAGATGTATTTGTACTCGTTCTTTATTCTAAGCATGCCATGTTCTTCCATTAAGATAGTTCCTAACCTAAATACGATTAATTTAAAACTTAAATAATACCTATTCTTTATACTTTCGCCAGAGTTACGCCCAAGGTTGTTAAAAATATGATCCATAGCATCCTAATAACTTATAAATAGAGGTTATATTGCAGGAGATTTCGGGTTAAGAGAAGTAGCAACAATTTTAACTAATTACTGTTTGATTTGTTCTATAATTTTAAGCCTTAAAATTTGTCCATTTAGTACAACTTCATCTTCTAGGAAAATTTTCTTTTGCTTATTTTTATCTTGACCTTTTCTAATCAGTAAGCTAGGAGTTGATCTTTTAGATTGACGAGATAAAGTTCTTTAATCTGGTATCATAGTTGTGAAAGCACTTTAAGGTCTTACTGATTTATTTCTAATCTAACCTAGTGGCTTCAATTCATTTTAAGAATTAGTTCCATACTCAAACTGTGGCAGATCAAATAATGGACTTGGGTAAAAATTCTAGCTTGATTAGTTGACCACATTACTTTTATATGATTTTCTTACTATATCTTAATCAGAAGGATTAATATTAAACTCTACTTCTTCATCAATGGGTATTTATTCTAATCCTAGGTTGTCATTTGAGGCCTTATAATAATCCAAGGAATCATAAACCTAAGCTTGCTTAGATAGCTAATCCTCAGATTAGTAGTATTCACTTAATTGCTAGCTTAATTTTTTGGCTTTCTAAACTGATAAAGAAGCTTTAGAAGTTGTTGCACTGTTTTAATTAAAATAATGAGTAGAAGCACTACTTGGTCGATTTTGCAATTATAACTTTTACTTAATAATTCTCATATTTTGAGCAGTCCCAAGTGCAATATGATCATCAGTTGGTGGTTTAAAGAAAAATCTTTTTGAAGGGTTGACTCTAACTTTTCCAAATGAGTTGTTGTATACTGGATTGTAGTTTGATTTAATCTGAGTTATAGTAACTGGTCTCCTCTTTAAATTCTTGCAAATCTCTCTATCTACCAAACTCTAGCTGAAATGATGATATTAATTGTCAGCATGAAAATTTAGCAATGAGGGGTACTTAGATTTATTTACAGATGAGTTACCATTAAATTTGCTATTAACAGAAAATGAACTGAAGTCTGTTCCAGATTTAGTGTTAAACCTTGAGACAGTGCTCTAGATATCAAGTTCATTGATACTTTTTATATCTTTGAGGTTCCTTGTAACGCCTGAGACAGTTTTAATTTGATCAAGCTAAGCACTGATAAACTGTGGCTTTAAGTTAAGATGCTTAATCTCTAAGTCTTAGTATTTGTCTTTGAATATTCTTGTCTTTTCATGATTAGGACCATAATGTTTTTCTGCAATGTTAACTGCTAGATGGAAAAATTCTAGTGCTAAGGGTATCCTACCGATGTATTCATACTCCACTGCGCCATTGTTATAAGCAATTGCTAACTTAAATTCCACCTCCCTAATTTTATCAAGTATGTTATTTTCAATTTTAGATAAGCTCTGGTCAGTGATAAGCGGATTGAGATTATTGCTTAACTGATTTGATAATTGCTCGTTATTTTCATGTTCTTCATCTAATGAATAATCATCCTCCTCTTCAATTTTAGCTCTAAAATTTATGATAGAATATTGGTGAAAGAAATTATAGTTTTCCTTACAGTAATGGATGAGGCAACTGGTTTTGCTACTCTAACTATGATATCTCTTATTTAAATAATTCAACTGCTTTTAATGCATGATGTAATGCTTGTTTGTGCTTGTTTAGCTTGCTCAATACGCAGCATAAATTTAAAGATGTCTATGCTATCTAATTCTTTGAGTAATTTCCCTGCATTTCTATATCTAAGGTTTGCTTTAAGTACTCATATGCTTCTCCAATTTTATTTTGCTTCAAGTAGGTACAACCCATATTGTTTAATGTAAGAGCCTTCAAACGATATATTGGGGAATAAAGGGAAGACCCGTTTGTTACATTTTTACTTTATGCTACCTCCTATGGTCTTTTAATTAGAGAAAGTGTGAATAATTATTGCATAAGCTCAACAATTTCTTTGCATTTAGTGAGCAAAGCAAGTGATAAGTCACATCTCTAATCTAACTGCTCAATAGAACTATTCAATCCAGACTTAGAGGAATCATGAGGTTAGTCATTTATTTTTTAATTAGAATCCTGAATGTTCAAACTAACTCTATTTGTCTGTTTGATTATTTCTTTGGCCTAATTAAAGTCTGCTGTAGGTATCTCTCTACTCTCAAGCAAATATTAATTCAGATTGTTGAGACATTCATCCAGTATTTACTTCTGCTTTTTGTAGTGCGAGAGAATGCTGTTTGAATTTGATTGCTTCCGAGATGGCATTTCAGATAAGTTTTTTGGCGAAGAACTACTTTCACTGTAGTTGAACTTATTTTGAGATGAAGAGGTTTGCTATCTTATTGATGCTGTTTATGTCTTTTTCATATTTTAATTGTTTTTTTATATATTTATTTCATTCATTATACTTAATTAATTCATTTTATTTTAACAAGAGGGGTTTTGGGGTTTTGGGGTTTTGGG